CTCGTGACTAGGGCGATATGCAGTGCAGACTGCCGTACGGATAACCGCCTTGTCATCTTAAAGACGCGGCTTCAACCGCAACCCCACGGGCGGCGAACAGCAGTTAGGTTAAATACAATTTTAGTGGATACGGCCGACCGCTAATTGGATTTTAACAGTCGGCTGAATTGCCGTCCGAAACAAATACATATTCCAGAAGTCAGTGCCACTGTTAATGCTAAATGACGTCAACTGCGGACTGTCATCCACTCCACTGCTCTGGAATCCTGGATCGCGCACGCTAACATCACCGGCACTGGTTTGATGATAACGACGAGGAACTCTGCAGTTTACTCAAGGGGGAGAATAGGCTGCAGTTTAACTACGCCAAGCATAGAACCCAGGTCAACAAAGTGGCTCTCTTCCGTTGGCCAAGCCAGCTACAGCAGCAGCTGACGTAGATGCAAAATGCAAGGTGACTCGCAAGACTGAAGAAATCCAACGGTGTGCAGACCGCAAAAAATAAGTGAAAAAATCCCTTGTGCCCTCTGCGGTGGTCTAGGTTCCCAAACCAAAGTAACGGTGCTGTTGTTCACTTTCAACAGAACAACCGTTCTGACAGAAAAATCACGAATTCTGAAGTGCCGGTCTCAGCATTTGACAGGCATCCTCAAGCAGCCATCAACAACCATTGATAAAGTCGTCAACAGACTACTTCAAATGAAGAAAGACGCCGTCCTCCCTGCAAGGGTCCATCAAAGCTGTGCGCCAGAGGCCTGAGAGCAAAGTGCCGAGCACTGGCTCACACGCAGCTGAAATCTATATATTCAGTGGTCCACACCTCATTGGCAAACCTACTTTACATTTTTAGGAAATAAAGAGATGAGTGCAAATTTTCCAGGAATTTAAGAGGACCACCATAGTCCACCTAGAGGAATGCAGGGGAACTAACAACCCCGTAAAAACTGCGGAGAATCCTCTCTCCTCAATTTCGTTCACATGACCTTTCCCGTGCCCTTCACAATCGCCTGTGCCTTCACCTCTATCTGAAAGTTAATGGGAATTTAGGAGGACTCGATGAACCATCGACATGTAATATTCGCTGTTTATCAACTACAGGAGAAATTTCAAAAATTAGGACCAGGTTCTACGCCACCTTCACAGACTTGACAAAAAGCCTTGATATAGTCAACTTCGACGGTGTCTAGAAAGTGATGCTGAAATTCGGATGCCTTGCGCGTTTTGCACAGGTTATGCGACAACTCCACGACGAGATGGTGGTTCGTGTTATGAACAGTAGGTCAATCTCGGCGACGAGACAGGGATGTGTACCGGCTCCTACCGTGATCAGTCTCGTGTTCCCCGTCTTGATGCTGACATCAGCATTGCCTGCCGGACTGACCGGCAGTCGCTCAGTATTCGACGCATGCAGGCCAGTGCGCCAGTCCCAACGGCCAGTGCTAGTGACGTCTTCTTTGCAGATAACTGCGCACTCAACGCCGTGACGGAAGTGGAAGTGCCGGCAAGCGTGGATTCATTTGTCTCTGGCTGCATAAACTTCGAAGAAAACGATTGTCATGTATCAGTCACATCATCTGACGAGTACAATGCGCCCAGAATCAGAGTAACTGAAACGTGTCTCAAATTTCTAGACAGACTCTTCCGTCTGAGGAGTATAATTTTGAGGGATCTCCAAAACTAACCAGGCCTTGGGCCGGCTACAGCACTCCGTGTGGAATCGTCACAACCCTCACCTGAACACGAAACTGAAAATGTGCGGAGCCGTCATCCTGAAAATGCTCCTATAGAAGCTATGACCTGGGCGGTTTCCGAAAACCAGGCAAGGAAGTTCAACAACACCTGCCTTCAGAGCATATTAAGGTTAAATCGGCAAGACAGGATCCCCAACACGGAATTTCTGAGAAAACTGGTATCCTCATTATTCACGCCAGGCTGAAGCAGATGCAACTGCGTCGAGATCGCCAGGTAGTGGGGATGGATGATGAGCCCCCGAACAATCGACCGTTCTGTGGGGACAAGGAGGACAATAGTGTCCTTACAATGACAGCCTGGAGACTTACCTCAAATACCTACGAATAAATCCTGTAATTTGGGAAGACCTCATCCGGGATCGGAAGGCAAGGCACACTACAGTACGAACTAGAGCCGTAATCTATGAAACCCATTATATACGACTATTCGAAACGATGAAGGAGGCGCACAGATCTCGAATACCACGGGTCAGTGCTGCAAACTAACATGCCCATTTTGTAAACTGACGTTCAGAGCACATACCGGACTTGTCGGACATCTCTGGGTCCACCGCCACAACAGCACATTTAACTCATTAAACACAACTCAGAGCGTCACTATTGCCAGCAACGTAGCGGAAGCGAACCCATCAGCCTGACCTCCATTTGCCTCACCATTATCACCACCTCTAGTATCACCAGCAATGTGGACTCAGTTTCAGCCGGTCCCCGTTGCAATTTCATCTTATCATTACGCGTTGGTTTTGTCGGTCATT